CATAGTTTAGACGTAATTAAACTCCCTGTTAGCAAATAAAATTGTTAACTTAACGACGAACAGTTTAAGCTTAACAAATGGTGATTCCTGCCAGGCTATTCTTTGTTGATAATATACATAACGTACCGCTAACGAACTAGCGTGGTGTATAATTTTTGAAGAATAAAACTGAAAATGGATTTAGAATATTTTATTGAGGAACAAAACTATTTCGTATATGTTGATACAACAGAAAATACAAGTTGGATTTCTACTGCACTTTTAGTTGATATAAAAGCAAATGAAGATATTTCAACACTTTTTATTAAAGAAGATAATAATGGAATTTTATATTTACATGGATATACTTTTGAAATGAATGGCGAGAAAATATATTTTCCTTTACAAATAAAAGAAGAAGAAATTCCTATGATACATTTAGGAAGGAATTGGACTGAATATATGCAAAAGCTATTTATTAAAGTAAAAGGAAAAAGATTTATCACTTGGCAAGAAAGAGATCAGAAATATTTGTCAAAAGTCCAACATAAAAGAAAAAGAAAAATTACAAAATCACATGATATGATGCCATCTGACGAAATATTAAAAAAGGAAAGTACATTTTCTAAAAAAGGAAATCATAAAGAAGAAACCCCAACACCAAAGGAAACAATATTTCAAGAAAACCTAATTAGCTTTGAAGATGAAAAAGAAAAAGAATTTATATTAATAGATTTGAATGAATATGATGAACCAATATCTTCATCGCTACAAGAGATTTCTTCTGATATTTTTATGTTAGATGCTGAACAATTTCAAATGACTTTTAATGACCATAATGATTTTGAAATGCAAACTTTTGATTACCTTTGTGAAGAAATATATGACTTGTATCAAGAAATACCAGTGGAAAGTAACGAACTTGAATCTACTGCTGCAACAACATGTGAAGAAGAAACAATTGTTGATGACCTCCAGCCAAGACAACATTTTGAAAACATTCCTAAAGTAGAGTATATCTGTGGAAAACCAGACCCATTAATTCCTAAAGTATTTAATAATGAACAATTAATGCAAGAAAATTCATTATTAATTCATCTACTGCAACAACTACTCCAAATAAATAAACTTGAATACTCTAGTACGAAAAACAGTTGCCAACCAGATCTTAGAAGATTTCTTCAGATAAAATACCAATGGAAAGGTCGGAAAAGAAAGTCACATCGTACAAATCTACTGCATCACTAAAAATCAAAATTGTATATAACAAATTGAAATGAGGTCACGGAAGCGATTATCACGTGATCTACAGATCGGAAATTCATGAAACAAAGACCATCGTGTGCACCGAGATGCGCTCTTCAAAATGATATGTGTTGCATTTCTAACGGACCACTGGATGCCGAGATATTCAAGAAATTATGCTGAAAAGGTTCAATGGAGAATTTTGATAGAGATCTTCATTATTACTGCGCCACATACCGCGAGAGAAATTCTTGGAATTATTCATTTGAAATTTTGTGATGATCATGTGGGGAATCGAACCCCATACACTATAATGCTAAGTGACTAATTTGAATCGTAATCTGAGTACTGGTATCACCAAACTCCAAAGTTTATTTCTACACTAAGGACGCATCATACAGACTACAACAGATGTTAGAACCAGTTTTAGCAAATATGTGATAAGCCTAGGACAACATGATCTAATAATAATGCCAAAGAAAAATAACCAAGATTCTGAGAATCTGTAGTAATATTATGAAAAGATGAAAAGAAGATAAGAAAGCGTTAATAAATTGTGATTAATAATACAAAATGAAAACTATAGAAATATTTTAGTAAAAACAATAATGATTTAGGATCACAAATTTACTAAAAGGATTTATTAATAAGCAAAAGGGCGATAATACGCAGAAATTTTATTAAGTTTTGAAAGTACATGAGAAATTAAAAAAAAAAAAAAAAAAACATATAGAGAAAACTATTTAAAAATTATACTAAAAAAAAAAAAAAAAAAAAAAAAAAAAACAAAAATAATATTTTGCTACAAAAGAGAGGAAGGGGAGCGTAGACTCATGAACAGCCGAAGCGTACGACAAAGCGTAGTTCAAGGTCAGCCGAAGCGTACGACATCCCCCTCGAGCAAAATTAATAATACTTAATCATAAAAATGAACATTGAAAGGAAAATTAAACTCCTCACTTCTATCCTGGAGTTGTACCAAAAGAGTGTTGAAATTTCTCCGGAGTCTAGCAGCGTCCCTCATCAAAGCTTGAGCTCGTTCAACTGTTTCTAGACCTTGAAGGCGGTTAACCTCTGACCGTGAGTAGTTAAACCGAAATAGAAGGCTATCGTATTCTGTTCTAAGTGACTGATATCTAGCTCGATACCTATTATTAGAGGAAGTAAGGTCGTTTAGTCTAGTGTCTAAAGAGTCAAGTTGCTGTCTAAGCTGGTGAACTTCAATTTCTAAGTTATCGATTATTTGACGACGGTCTTCTTCCTGGCGAGAGCGAAGGCTAGCTTGTCGGCTATTAAAGAATCTTGAACGTTGAGATTTTCCCATCTTTGAAATAATATGTTGACTAGAAAGTAAAATGAGATAAATATCGACATTAATATAGCGCTTTTATTAACTCCATTCAATCCCTGGACTTTCACTCCTCAGAAAATATCGGATGTGTGGCGTCCCCTCAATACTTTAATAAACTTGAAACATCACAGTAACTTTAAGTATTATTCGTTAAATCTTCAACGGATGGAATTTATTTTTACCAAAGAGAAACAAAAACTTACAAATGGAAATAACAATAATTTTGGGAAGAAATTGGAAATTTAGTGAAAAATAGAAGATATTTTGAGTGGAATATTTATAATTAAAAGACGTGGCTATGAAAAATTCTCAGGATCGTGAGAATTATTTTCTTACAAAAATGTAAACAAAAATTATTGGATAAAATTGGATGATGAACATTGTATGGAAATCTATAGAACAAAAACTGGATTAGTAATGGCGTAGCTGATCAACATTACTGGATTTAGATGATCACGCAATTTTTGCATATCAATTTCATGAATAATATTTCTTTAATAAGCATAAATTCAGGAAATTTTATTGTGTTACATAATTTTAAGAGTTTGACAAAATGCATGCATAAAAGATCAGAAAGCATATATATGTTAAATTTCCTAAAAAGTAATATTTTGTGCAATATTGACGTAATAAAAGTTCAGATTGCATAATCAGTCGATCAGAAAGTTAATTTTAGAATTGTGATTAATTTTAAAAGGATTTTCCTCATGGCCGATTACTTAAAATTAAATTTAAATGAAAATACCTGATAAATGATTAAATAGTATTCTTGTATATTGAAGGAACAAATTGTTTATAGTTAGTAAAGAAATGGAGGAGGAACTTCTTTTTGCTTAATTACATTTGTTATGACCGCAATAATTTATACAAAAGGCAAGTATCCTTGCAGGAGCTCGGATATTGGAGGAGGAAGTTGTTAGTAATAATACTCCAAAAATTACTGTAACAATTTTTGTTTGTGATCTACAAACTACTAGTGATCTACAAGT